AGAGTGGAGCATTATTCTTGGAACCCGACGCCATCTCGATTAACACCGAAGGTCGTTGAACCTTGTTCTACGGTGACCGTGCTCTGATACCACGTGTTGGTTGTGTCGAGCGGGAGACTATATACCTGTCTTGGCTACAAATCAAGCTAAATAATAGTGATTAGTGCAAAGTAATCTCAAAGCATATTTTAATCCTAACTATCTTTGACTCTTTCAACTTAGGCTTAGGCGTATAATGACACAACTAATCTAGGCTGATTAGCGCTTAACCCCAACTAAGCTCATTCAATGTAAAGCCCACTTAACTGAACCTAATTTTACACTGCTGGGCTTCTAATCCCTATTGCTTAAATTACTCAGAAATAATAACACAGCCCGGAAGCCCAGCCCACTCAATTACTCGTCCCGACCCAGCTTCTAAGTGTTGAAAACAAAACGGCTGTGTTTTAATTCAATTCAAATTGCCCTTCCCGCTTGGAACTTCGATCCAAACTTAACCCTGCTTCTGTACGATTGAAGAACAGGGGAAGAACAGCAAGATCTTTGTTGTAAAAACCCAGGAAGTTGTGCTGAAGCTCAAATCAAACTCAGCTTCAACAAGTTCCCCAACCCGGTCCTAACAGTACTTCTTCCCTAGCTGCTCCTGAGTGAATTTCCCTGCACAAAACAGAACACACACACACAGAGGGACATACACAGCAGAAGCCGAAAGGCCAAATGAGAAGACACACCACGATTTTTACGTGGTTTCTAGTATTGGGAGAATAAGAATCCCAATACTGACTACTCCACGGTCGGAGACTCACAATTGAGTGATCTCCGATGATTCACTAATGATATTTCGATGAAGTTTGTTCTAACACTATCTACCCAAGAACCCTTGATCAATCTCACCCGATTGATCAATAATCTCTCTAATCAAACCCCGAATTGCTTCCCCAACAACTCGTAACAGTGTTTCCTCAGCACTAACCCTCAAAGCAATTCTCCCCGAACCCTTTGAGAACCCCCTTTTCTATCAACCTTGCTACTCTAACAAAATCCCTTTTGTCTTAGCTAGCTATGTTGATCTCCGAAAAGGCTACCTACTGATTCAGTCTTGTCTCTATTTATAGCCTCCACCAACTAGCCGTTGCTCTTCAATTCTCCCTTGAGATCTTCTTGTAATGGTAAGTTTATATTCTTTCTTTCTTTTTGGCCTGTAAACTTTCCTTAACTGCTTTTGGGCAGCCACTGCTTTTCCAACTTGATTTTCACATTTGAATCTTGACTTGGCCTTCAAGTTGTATCAAGAAGTTTTGCCATTGTCAAGTTGATGCTTACAGTATATTCATGATTACGGATATTTTTGTCATCCCTATTTGGCAATTTTGTCATCTGACACTAATAACAACATTAATGAATTGAGGGAGTTGTAGAGTGACAGGAAGTTTAACTTTTCCTTGTTTACGACAAAGTAAGACTTTTAGAGTAGTATAGTTCTTTGTTTGGATGTAGACTCTTTATTTGACAAAACATAATCACAACATCGACATGCCTAAAGAAGGTCCAAGAGTGAAAGATTTGCATCTTTGGTAACTAAGGGGTCGTTTGGAGGTTACGATTGTTGTATAGTTGTATTGTTGACAATCCATGTATAATATTATACATGTATTTTGAAATTTGATGTATTGTAAAATTCATTGTTTCGTGTATGAGATTGTCCTTTTGTTTTGAGAATTAAAACATATCACTTAAAAGATGTAATATCATTTTTGCCCTTCCATTTCCATAAGCTAAAGACAAAAGCCATTATTTGTTTCCCTCTTTTACTGGTTCTCTAATTTTCTTTCCTTGCCTATCAGATGTTCTTCATAAGTGGCAGACCACTGTCGACACAGTTCATGACCCATTATTCTGCAACTTATGTAAAAAACCAGCAGCTCAAATGACAACAAAACAATTGAATCTATTGAAAATTACAACATATTTAATCATGTGAGCAACCGCCCAGTACCCTATTACCATCTCAGCATATTTAATCATGTGAGCAACCGGCCAGTACCCTATTACAACCATCTAATATCAAAATAGCATTGCTCACCGGGAATGCAACCAGTTTACTATAGCTAATACAAAACAGAGACACTTGGCAGATCTCTCATCTGACATAACGCACACATAATAGTTCACCTACTCCTACTATTATAATCTGACTTAATATGACTTAATCAAACATAACATGACACTAAATAGTTCTACAAACATAATCTTGATGTTGGTAGAAGAAGATGGCTTGCTTTTAGTCAATTATACGAAGGAGAAAATGGAACTTCTCCTCCTCAATTGGCAACTGGTAGTACAACTGTGCAATTCGATCATCCTTGATAAGAACCATTGCTGTTGAAATGCATTGCTCACTTGTCAAACCTTCAACCTTTGACAGCTCTTCATACAATCGACCCCTCCTAACAGTGAGTTCATCTTCAAGACAGAAACTATTAGCCATCTTCTCAATGTTCATGGTTGCTTTCTCCATTAGGGGATTCAGTTTTGCTATCTCACAAGCCACAACAGAAGTAGATGTTTCATCCTTACTATTCCTTGAACGTTTGTTGCTTCCTGATGACTTGGTCGGTTTTGAAGGAGCAGACTCTGGGACATTGAGGAAGGTCCTATAACTGACACCTTCATTTATAATATGCTCCAGAACGCGTTGGCTTGTTTCATCATCATAGACGGACTCCACTCCAATGCCATCTACAAAATTGAAATTTGTAGCAGCAGCAGACTCCTGAAAGTCGAAATGTTATCTGATTTTGTCGGTTCTTTTCATTATGAGCAATCGTGTACAAAAAGATGGCAACCATCTCATCTATCTCCATGTTCCAACTACATCTAAGCCCCCCTCGATCTCTAAGAAGATTACATAGCTTTTCAAAAGATTTACAACTCATTCTTATAAGCATAGTGCTGGATATGTCACCATGAGATGTGATGCACGCCATGAATGAGTTTCTAACCTGCTGTCGAGCAATGGGTGTCTCCCATGAAGTAACATGCTCCAAAACTTGGACATCTTCATATTCTAGTTCCTTGTAATATTGGATTATCAACTTGATAAGGTTCAATAATAACTCAAAATATGCAGATATTGCTACTACAATGTACATTGGTATAATTCAAAAGCACAAAAAAAAAGAATTATCGGATAAAAGAAAAGGAAATATTTAATGAAGAGAGAGATAGCTTCATAAATATATCAATAGTTATTTTTTTGTTTGTAAGAGAATTGTCCACCTTGGCAACTTGTGAGTTCTCCAAGTGCTTATGTGGCAAAAAATTACATTTGAATTGCCATAATATTATGTATAGATAGATAGATAGATAGATAGATAGATAGATAGATAGATGATTAATAAATATATTATTAAGTGAAAAAAAATTATTTTTATCTGTTAGAGATTTTATGTTATGAACAAAAAAATATAATATACGATTTACTCATGGCATATTTTCCAGTATAAGTTACATAGAAATTAGTGATAATATTTTAAAATTAGGTATCAACTCGGTTGAAGACATGAGTACTAATATTTTTATGGCTAATAACATCAAATAGAATTTTCAGTATTGGTTAAAGTGAGGTATAACTTATGAAATTGTGGAAAAAAATTTAACGATGTCAAAAAATTAAAATGATAAACATGACGTGAAAAATTAGTATTCTCTTGAGTCCTAATGGAGGAAGGCTCTTCCAGTCATTGGCGTAGCTAGAAATGTAATTTAGTGGGGTCCGAATTTAATAACATGTGATGTTTGTCTCAATGGTAAAATTACTATATTTTGAAGATGGGGTCCATGGTTCAAAACTTATTAACTTCATCTTAAAATTTCATTATTTTAAGGTATATTATTTTCCAAGTGGGGTCGATGGACCCCACATCTTCTCACCTAACTCCGCCAATGCTTCCAGTGGATCCTAGAGGGGTCGTTCAATCTTGGAGATTTTGCAGGTTATTTTTTCAAATCCTATAGTTTTGGATCTGAATTTCTCGGTGAATACATGGTTGAACTGAAACGTGATTTTTCTGGCTTAATTTTGAGAACTTTTCAGTCTAAGTTCTGCATACCAAATGTTGATCGTAGAAGGTGAAGAATTTGTACTTAAGAAGAAGCAGAAGGTTAGTATTCTCTTGACAACCTTCCTCATCTTCCTTAGAAGAAAAAAGAAATATTTGAGTTTTCATGTTTTCTTCTTTCTCGATTTGAGAAAGACGATATATCTTAAATGTAAGAAACTTTTCTATTTGCTCTCGCGTCACTCGTCCATCTCTCTTTCTATATGATGAAAAAATGCATTCGACTCATTGTTTTGTTATTTTTTCAAACAAACTTTTCCACTTATCTATGTCCAATTATTTTGTGTGTTCTCCTCACCTACTACGATTAATTTGCAAACAACAATGAAGCGTACGACATAAAATGATTATACCACATTTGTTAATATTATTTTTGATTTTCCACCTAACTATTCTTTTAACCCATGAGGTCATCCAATCACGCAAAAACACATATAATATAAAGGTATCACAGAGTCTTTATTTTCTGAGCCTCATGGCAGTCTTCACTATTGGTCAATTTTGTTTTTACCTAAGTCCAATTATTTTGTGTGGTCTCCTCACCTATTATGATCAATTTGCGAACAACAATGAAGTCTACCATATAAAATAAATATACCACTATTGTTAATACTTTTTGTGATTTTCCAACTAACTATTCTTTCAACACATAAGTTCACTCAACCACTCAAAACAACATATAATATAAATGTATGACACAAGTTAGCGAACATGCATATAAGCGATGGTTTAATTCGTATCAACAACCTGGTATCTAATGTTTTCTCTTAATGTTCTTTTTGGTTGAGCATGACATTGAATCCCAAGTATAACAAATTTTTGATTATCCATCTATTTTCTTTCACACTGTTTTAGGGCCATTATTTAATGTTCTCTCTCGACACATTTATTTATTTATTTAAGAACAATGATTGGAGTTAACTGAAGAGTCATAATGAGCTTAGTGATGCCATTGCTAGAGCCTTCCTCAATGCTCTGATCCTCCTTTCGAAAGAAAACAATTGTAAGCCGCTATTTCATGGGAATTTTTAATGTTCTTCTCAATAGTTGCAGGGGGAAAACAAGACAATAAGATAAGAGTGAGTGAGTGAGTGAAAATAAAAAACCATGAACATAGCAGCACTATTCACCGGACCATGAACATTATCACCAACACTACTATGTCTCGTAGCAGCTGAAAGTAGATAAAATGATTAAACATAGTTAAGATGAATACATAGAAGAATAAGTAATCAACTAAATGGATGAACGAATTATATTACCTCATCCACCAGCATTTCCAATGTTCTCAGCAACATTGTGATTATCTTGCGGCGGCTCAAGATGGTCAACATGGACATTGTCAACAGGATGGATTGTCTCTGCTGCCAAAATATGGTCCTCGAGGTCTCCCACCCTACGGTTCAACTGAAGATGGTAAGCTGGGAGGGACGACTTCACAATAGCAGAAGCAGTAGGATGCTCGAACATATAGTCATATGCACTGTTAATTTCCAGAGAGACCGTCTGCAAAGTGTCCTGGACTGCCTGCAGTCCTGTTATGAACAAGTAACAATACCAAAAATCTTAGGACAAACCTCTAATCATAGAATCGATAAAATAATCTAGATAAATATACCAATGAGATAATGGAATCATCCAAACAAAAATCTAGACAACAATATCGGTAAAAGTTCCTCAAGTTTCCACACTATATATCTTACATATGACTGAAATAGAACAAAACTAACTAAATTTTATTGAATCAATGAGAGGCACCACAATGAGATATGAAGTGTAGTGTGGTATGTAAGCAATTAAGCACACAATTATATATTTGTTTGTTTGTTTCTTATTTGTGTTATTGCTTACTGACTATCATAATCCACTATAATTGGTTAAGTTAATTGGTTACAATTGCCTGTTTATTGGACTTTCCATAACTAATGAGTTGCATGGATTGCAAGATTGGGAAACAGAGGATAGATAGTACATAGGAGCTTATTGGACTCCGTGTCAAATGTTTAATTCTATTATGAAGAAAAAGGGTCATCGTTCAATAAGAAATCGAACAAACAAAACAGTCCTCCTAAACTCCGGATGATAATAGATAGTCCATAAAACACATTTTAAGAGAAATAAATCTACGATTACTAATTGCACGATATCGTAACTAATTACAGGATTCACTAACCATCAACTTAATCAAAACCTCCAACACCATTCTACATTTAAAGATTAGGCTGAAGAAACGTACTCTCAACAGAAATAGGAAAGAGTACGATAGGCCTAGGCTGCACCCCGTCCCCTCATGGCTAGCGCTGTAGAGCAGGGTAAGAGGGCGTGGAAGTCGAGTCATGAACTCAACCGTAGTTGCCAACTCATTCTCAATAACAATCCTCTGATGATGAAGTGAACAGCTGAAATGAAGTCACTTTAGGTGGGCAGTCAATTAAATAATACGAATATATGAAGACAATTTAAAATAAATGATGACATGCAATGCAATCATAGAAAGTGCATGCAACGATTTGATCAGCTGAGTTGTAATGTATATATACAGATCGAGTCTTTTTGTATAGTTAACTGAAAGACGAGTTGAGAGAAAGAAAGAAAACCCAGAGAATGAAAGAGATGAATTACTTGATGAAGAACGATCGACTTAGTTTGTCCAAGAAGAGAAAGTTAATTATGTATCTTATAGAACTATTTTATACGACTATAGTATTCATAGGGCGTATGAGAGAACATGCTCACAAGCAAGGCTGGCCCTGAATCGTTACTTGTTTTATAAGGAAACGAGGCTCAATATTTTAAAAAGTATGATAAATAGAATAAAAAAATGCAACAATCAATAAATAAAAATTATTTTTATATTATTTGAAACTAATATATATCTAATAATATTCAAACAAAGAGTTATAATGGTTTAAATTGAAAGATGAAAAACATTGGTTACTTAAGAGATTGAATAAAAAAGGAAAACAATGGAATCTAATTAGTAATTAAATTAATAATTAATTAATTAACTAGACTCTTCTAAATAGGTTGTGATAACTTTTTTTTAACAAAAATAATCATATTGATTGATAAGAGATCATAAATTACACCCTGAACCCAACCCAGACACGAAATGGTGGGGGGAAGGGAGGGGCCCACTGCAGGGCCCGCACATAATTTCCTTTTTAAGTTTTTTTTTGTTTTTTTTTCTAAGTTATTTGTTTTAATAGTTTTCTTCTATTGTGAAGTGTTTTGATTGGTTTTATCCGCAATGGACATAATCAATGAGGTTATATTTAATTAGTGATGGAAGAAAATTATGTTCAAATAAAATATATATATCGAAATGTTCGTATTAATTGATTATCACTAACTATGTAAAAATATTAATCATTATATAAAAATAAAGTGAAGAAATCAACTATAGATTGATTTTAACAAAAAAGTAATAAACCAATTACCCACTTTTCCCATCCCTCACACTATGATCAAGACCTCCCCCCCCCCCCCCCCCTCTTTTCCCTATTTCCCCACCTTTTCCTCCCACCCACATTGTGGATGGTCTAATGCAGTCAAAGTCTAGCTTTTAGGTAAAAGCGGAAGCGTGAAAACGTAAGTTTTTGCACATCATATAATTTTTTAATAGAAATATTCTAACCATAACTTGTATTATGCAAAATATGAACAAAGAGATGAACTCGCTCATATTTAACATATTACTCTCATCCACATAAACTATATTAATAAGCCTTTAAACAAGAATTCACCACCTTCCTCTTGCTTTTAGAAAAAAATTGAGAAAAGGAAACCAACAACAAATGATGAAGCTAAAAGGGTTATAGCAATGCTGTCAAAGCCGAGCCGGAGTATGACCCGGTAACGTGAACGGCTCGGTCATTAGTGGTCCAGCCGGCATTAGACCGTTTAAAAACCGTTTGAGAACCGGTACCTAATAAACAGTCATATGTATAAATAGTAGACACTTCTTAATCATGATAAACCACAAGTAAATTACTCTCTTAAACCATTCTAGAACATCAGTACTGAAAGATCTAAAATTCAATTCCAAACCACCACATTGTTGGGATAAAAGACCATATGTCAATAAAACATTTTGTCAGTTTGCATCAATAGTCAGTTTATGATGTGTACCCAACTTGTGTAAACCTAAACTCACATGGCCACCGCACCAATACCCTTTTTCTGCATGCCCTACCTACTGATCTGATCCATACCATACCATCCATTCATTCATTCATTCATGTAAATGAAGAGTTAAAATGGTTGACGGCGGCAGGGTGGCGCCGCTCTCCCTCTGTCGTCTGTTCTACTTCTAGGTCGAAAATGAAGAGTTAAAATGAAAGTTAGGATTTTGTTTGGCTGCCCCATTCCACGATTGGCCTTCTCTATTTTTTTAGGGTAAACCAAACGGCCGAACCGGGCGACCGGCTTGAGCGGCTCGAATGGTTAACCGCTTCGGCCGCTCGCCGGCCGCTGTATAAAACCGTGGCGGTTAAATAGCTGATCCGAGCCGGTTTTATGACCGGGTGGCGGCTTTGGCGGTCCGGCCGGCCGGCTCGGTTCGGCTTTGACAGCACTAGGTTATAGACAAGCTACACTAATAAGTGAAAGTGGTGCCAAATATGAGGTTGAAGAAGATCAGCTTTGATAACAACATAGTCATAGGGGTGAGATATGAGTTATAGGGATGAGTAGGGTTGATGCATCGAGTGAAGATGTCCAAGTTATTGTAGCAGTGGGAGCCTACTAAGAGGAAGTTGGATGCACGTTGCGGGAAATTAAGGGAAAAGCATTGGAAGCAGGACTTTGGATATGACATGTGATTTTGGAGGCAGAAAAATACGAGAATGTGGAAAAGTGGCGGTGAATTAGGGATGATAAATTCATAAAAGCAAAGACTGAAAGGATAACCCGATTAGAAAACAAATAAGACTGCATCATTTTTCTCATTTGTCCAAAAAACTGAACCAAACACGACCAAATATGATCATCATACTCAGATATCAAAAGCGTAGAGAAGCGGTCAAAAGCTAGCTTCTAAGGTTTTTACTGGGTTGAGAGCTTTTACTTGGGCTTTTGATGTAAAAGGCTTTTTGAACAAAAACTACAATACTTGGGGGTTCCAAAGCGTAAAAGCGTAGGCTTTTAAACTTTAAAACTAGCTTTTGACTTCATTGCAAGGCGCCCATTCGCTGGATTAGACAGGTGTGATCTTCTGTGAGCACGTTCTCACAATTTGGACGATGAGCACCATATTGGATTTGATCTAAAGCTACAGTACAAAAAAGACCCAACTACCATGTGTGTATGTATATATCTATTCATCAATAAAATATAATAATGACTCTCTATTTACAACTTCACTATTTCAAATTTATTGAGTTCTTATTCATCCACGTCAAAAGATCTTGCAACCAGTCAAAAAAATTCGGAATTCATTTTCTTCTTATTCATCCCTCTAATATGCAGTTTTATCAAACAACCACTCTACTATTTTTTTACATCAAACATGCCCCTATACAATGGCGGAGGCAGGATTTGAAACTATATCTGTCTTCTTTTCATAATATAAATATATAAATATTTAATTAATAATTATTTAATAAATAAAATTAAAATTAATTATATCCAAATAATTAATTCAAATATAAAAATAATCGACTAATAAAATCACTGTTTTCTTAAGCAACCACGACGAAATTTCATTTGTGAAAGAAACAAAAAATATTTGTTGTCTACACTATTAAGTAAGTCTCTTTTAATGTATCACACTAAACAATCTTAGCAAACTGGTCGCCAATTCGACTCCGAAACTTAATATAACTCAAAGCTGAAAATGTTCTTTCTGCACTTGCAGTTGCAAATTGGTAGAATAAAAACTAGTGGAATTGCCGGTGTCGCTGAAAATTTTCAGGGTTGTTGAGGGAAAACGAATACACATTAGGAGAAAAAAGATTTGATTAGGTCTTTATTGCAATTAAAAGTTTGTTTATAGTATAATAAATTAATTTTATGTCAATTTATGAACAACTAATGAGTTGTGTTGTACTAATAAAATACTCTAATAATACCACCTTTAATTGTTTGTTTCATCATCAATATAAATATATATGGGTATTTTTTCACTCTGAAATTTGTCCCTATCCCGTGACAAGGGCTAATGCCCCTGCCTCCGCCTATGCCCCTATACATTGTAAAAATGATCATACATGCCATTTTGTTATAAATTTCATCCAAAAATCGTCAACTGACTCACTCCTACTGTCACTCTAGGAATTGGCCAAGTGTAACCACTTCCTAAAGCGTAGTATAGCGGGTTTGGGTTTAAATGTCAACCCGGGTCCTAGATTTGATGACTACTCGGTGAATTCTTGTTATCTAGCAATAAAACTTTAATGCAAGTCTAAACTAACAAACAAACAAAGCAAGTAAACGGTTGTTTTCAGGTTAAAAGAGGTCACCCGGATATGGTTCCCCCTAGACTGCAGTTAAGCCGGATTGCAATTACCAAGTTCAGTTTCTATGATAGTTATAATGCGAAAGGTTCTTAAGCAGTCTGAAGTCTCGACTAAAGGTCTCCAGACCCTCTCAATCTAAGTCTCTAGCGGGCGACTAACCTCCACCGGAGTAAACAGATTGAGGCCCTACGAACAAAACCTTCACTATCGAAGTGAATTCGGTACAGAATAGTGAGTTGGCTCCTCGACTAAAGTCACCAACTCCCTACCTTCAATCAAGGATGCTCTATCAACCTAGGCAGATATTCTCATTCTAGGTTAAAGCAGAAACAACAGGAATTTGATAAGGATTCATGCCATTCAATCATTCAAACCTCAATTGAATATAATCAAATCATAGAATCAGTACTTGGGTTCATACAATCAGACCTAACATACAAATCTAGGGTTCTCCATACCCAGATGAATGGGAGAACTACTCCATGGAGAAAGAAGCAAAAACAGATTCAGACGCGGAAATCATACTGTGAATGATGGATTTCTGCTCCTGGACGTTGATTGGCACTTCTCCAAGCTCAAGCCAAGCTCCAATGGTGATGAAGACCAAGCTAGGGCACTTGGGAACTCTTGTTCGTCACTTTCTCACTCTAGGAATCGATCTCTCTCTCTAAAACTCGAATCCCTTGATTTTCAGCCTTCTTTTCCCTTAAAACTGCTGCCTGTCGCGATACCCGGTCGGGTATTTTGGGTCTCGACCGGGTATAAATGAAACGCACGTTTTGAGGAAGGGAAAAATCCCCGGTCATGACCAATAATCCCCGACCGGGGATTTAAGCTTCACGCCCGGGCCCCCCTCTGTTTCTCACGGGTGCCAAAACAATAAATACCCGGTCGGGTATTTGAGCCCCCGACCGGGTATTTTCCTCCTGCAGCACACTTCGACCCAACTTCGCTCCTTTCGACCCAAAACTCGTTTCCTCGCCTCGATTCCAACGCCGGGTCCTGAAATATGACATAAACACACAACCTCGCGTGAAATCGGCTTAAACACGAGAGTCAACCTCTTAAACGGCTCAAGAATAGGGGTAAAAACATGTGTAATTATTGGTCTATCATCAACCATGGTCGAACTTTGTTTTGGCCGACATAAATGTCTAAAATATCACGAATAATTTCTCTTTTCAATTTTTTTGTTTCTTTTGTATAGCCAAATATCTTTAATAATTTCACTTTAATGAGACCCGGAGAATTAAATGAGGGAAAACTCACATTTCCCTCCTAATTTTGTCGATGTCGTGTCATGTAAATCTCAGTTCAACGGTGGGCCCATTGTTAATGGAAAGTTTATCAGAAGGGCACATTTGATAAATGTTTCCAATGTATAGGAGCAAGTTTGGTGTAAAAAATAGTAGAAGAGCATGTTTGATAAAATCATAAAATTGAACAACAAAGAGACATATTATACCGGGGATTGCTATTTGTCGCCCTAAAAATCCTTATTCGTCGCCCTAATTAAATTAATTTTACTTTAATGTCCTAGTTTTTTTAAATACTTAGTTCATTAGTTTAAACATTTAAACCCAAAACATTGTTATGAATAACCGAAAAACAAAAATAAACAAAATTATAACCGGAACAGGCCCATTGCTGCTCCTGGCGTCACTGATAAGTTCCTAGAAAGTATAAACCACCAATCACGTTACCCAGATGGTATGTTTATTGAAATGAGACCATTTAAATCCCCAGAAGTGAAAAAAAAAACATCAATAAGCTTATCACAGATGACGATTTCCCTATCAAATCCCACCTTCAAAACTCTCGCATTAAGCTTCTGGCAATCCGCTAACATCTCAGAGGCCAAAAGTAAGACAAAAGTCCAGTTTAGCAGCAACGACAACGGCAGCGTCAAGCTTGCTTCTTCCTCCTTTCTCCGATGGTCGAGTAGCAGCAGCGGGAGTAGATGGCGGGAGCTGTGTAAGCGGAGCAGGGGTTCTGAGTTTATGCGGCGAATATGAGTTGGGGGTGAGGGAAAGGATTGTTTGGTGAGAGTTAGAATTGAAATTAGGTTAAGGGTAAATATATAAATCAATTGCATTTTAGGGCGATAAAATTTGAACTTTAGGGCGACGAATAGAGATTCAGATTATACCTAATCTATAACCCTATTTATTTCCAGCTAAATGTGCCACCACGCATATACTCTCTCCCTTTTTTTTTTCATTCCCACGTTTCAACTCCGAATTTAGATATTTTGCGCAAAAGAATCATATTTTATTTGATCTAAACAATAATATCCAACTTTGATATATGTTGAAAAAGAAAAAGAAAACTTCAAGATCACGTATCCACGTGTCACTTTCCTATTAATAGAGTTGTTAAACTATGCAATTATCATTTGATTCTATATCACTAATGTACGACCATAACTCATGAGACACGTTCTTATTCTATTGGTTTGCTAAACTATATCAATATTGTTCAATTTTGTATCGCCATAATATGTAAATCTATCATGTGTGTTACACCTTAGAGAAAACCATATTATGTAAGGGGTCGTTTGGAAGTTGTGATTGTTTCTTTGATATGGTTATTATACTCATATTGTTTAGAATGCATTGTATTTCTGATTTTTTTAGTTGATAGAATACATAGATTGTTTATTTGATTTAATAGAAACTATCACTCCAATGAGTGATTGTTATATCTCAGATTTTAGATGAGATTGTTGAGATAGTTGAGTTGAGATTTTTTTATCTCAACTTTTAGTTGATATCACATACACAATCACACATATCAAACGTTGTATTTTACAATTCATCAATACATATATACTATTATACATACATTTACAACAATACATCTATTTAACAATTACAACTTCCAATTTAATTCTAATAAATAAAAAATGGATTCCGACTGGTCGCCGGTCGGGCTCAAAACCATTAGTCGATTAAAACGTAACTCCATAGAGGCAAGTAACTTAAAGCTGTATTTGGACCTTCTTTGCAGTGAGTTAATGAAAACATGTTTGGGCTATGAACTGACTGTATATAGCCTCTCTGGGCCCAGTGCCCTAGCCCAAAAAATTTGCAGACTCAAGGTATCACATTTATATATTTGTTGGTTTGTTTCTTGTTTGTGTTATTAATTACTGACTATCATAATCCACTGTAATTGGTTAAGTTAATTAGTTGCAAGTTTCTGTTTATTGGACTTTCCATAACTTATGAGTTGCATGCATTGCAAGATTGGGAAACATAGGATAGATAGATAGTAGGAGTTTATTGGATCCCTGTCAAATGTCTAATTTTATTACGAAAGGAAAAATGGTTCATCGTTTAATAAGAAATGAAACATACGAAATAATCCTGACAAACTCGGAATAATAATAGATAGATCATAAAACATATTGTAAGAAAAATGAATCTACGATTACTAAGCAAATTTTGAACATAATTGAGTACATAATTTTCAATTTTAAGAGTACTTTATTCATCGATATTAAAGGAGAGACTTTCCTACAATTTCAAACATCAATCCATTATGAAAAGGTTATGAAATTCAAATAACTAACCCGCGACTTAGTGACGAAATAACAGCTTTCACTCTACCGTATTTAACCGTGCGCTAGTTTTGTGGCTCGTTTGTTGAGTCAAGTCCGATAGACTACCCATTTTCCAAGAGCAAACTAAAAGAGAAATGATAAGGACCTGAAAATCAAGACCCTTTTTTCATGCCATGAATGTGTACATTTATCACATATATATAGAAATTAAGAGAAATCCCAGCTAAGTAATCAAGGCTCGGCCTTTATTGTGTACATGATAAATTTAAAATTATTCTAAAATGCAAATGGAGAGTTATAGATAATCAATTAATCCATCGATGAATATTTTTGACCAATTAGGGAAGCATGACAAAGGCAGATAATATCATATATCTCTTGAAACCAAACCGTATCGTCGTGGGTTCAACTGTGAAAAACCTCTTATAAGAGACTAAACCGGTAGACATTTTCTAGCGCTGTTTATTTGAAACGGTTGAATAACGATATATTAAACTACGTTATAACTTCGGTTACAATTTCGCAATACTTGATCATCATTATTATTTACTACTACCCATCTTAAATGCTATTTAATCATAAATCATAATTACTTACCCCTTACTTACCCTCTTCCCCCCCTAATCCCGTCAAAAACTGTTCCATATAGATTGCTTCCCATCTCAACAATGGCTGCACCAAGTTCAAGAGACTATACTCTCATTTCCCAGGATCCAAGAACATCACTACCACTACACTAAACTAAACTCTTAACCTTCACCATCACTCAAACACCAAATGGTATTATTATTATTATTATATCCCCACAAAATCCCTTTATAATTCAACTTCCGTCCTCTCTTCTCTCGATCCAGAAGAAGAGCTATAGTCCTCCTCCGGCCATACCAATGGCGGTGGTGGAGCAAAAAATGAGCTGCCACGTTCTTACCCTCGTCCCCATTTTCCTCCTCCTCGTCTACGCCCTATTCGCCGTTTCCCCCTTCATCGACAGGAAACTCTCCGTCACTAAATCGTCCACCGCCACCGCCGCTGCCCCGACTGCAGCGCCGCCGTCGGCGGCGGCTGGGGTGACGGTTTTGTACAGTAGACGTAATGCTAGTGGAGTGGAGAGGATCGAGGAGGAGCTGGCTAGAGCTCGGGCGGCGATCAGGGAAGCGATTCGGAGCCGGAGCTATAGGTCGTACAAGGAAGAAGGGTTCGTCCCCCTTGGGGCTGTATATAGAAACCCTATCGCCTTCCAACAGTAAGTTAATATGATTTCTGATGGAAAGTTCATGCCTCCCTTTGTTATCAAGTTCTTTTTTTTTTCTTCTTTACTTTCTTTCTTAATGGTGTTTTGTGAAATAGGGTTTTCAATCTTAGTGAAATCGTATCGTACTGGATGACATAATATGTTTTGGTTCTATCTCGATTCTCGATAAAATCTATGATTGGTTCGAAGAGCGTCTCGCGAGATTCCAGCTATTGCGAATGATATAGCTAGTAAATAAGTTTCACCTCATGTCAACATATTTTATTATTTAGATGGAATTACACTTGCTTCTTTTTTTTAGTACAAGCAGCTATGAGGTTTGCTATATACCTTATTGTATGAATCTATCCTGCCTGTGCTTTCTTTTTCTCGTTCTGGTTCACCACATGTCTGTGATCTCTATCTTTCAACATACTCCCTCTAGTTGTGTACTTAATGTTATTCTAGTAGATCTGTCAACTATTTTTCTTGCATTCCACTCATTCTAATCATACTAACGATTTCACCATGTGATAACCGGGGTAAAAACCAAACCCAAAACAAAACCCCCTTAAAACTCTCTCTCTCATTAGGTTTGACTTTTAACATAATAAATCCCTAACAAACTATTCTCACTCTCTCTACTTTGTTTTGGGGATTTTGATTCTTTGTTGACAGGAGCCACATAGAGATGGTGAAGAGGTTCAAGGTGTGGACGTACAAAGAAGGGGAGAGGCCGTTGGTCCACCGAGCTCCGATGAACAACATCTATTCCATCGAGGGCCAGTTCCTGGACGAGATGGAGAGCGGGAAAAGCCCATTTAGGGCCCAAACCCCCGACGAGGCCCATGTATTCTACCTGCCCTTCAGCGTGGCCTCCATCATCCACTTCATCTACCAGCCCATCTTATCCAAGAAGGACTACGACCGTGGCCGGCTCCACAGGATCGTCGACGACTACGTCGGCGTCGTCGCCGGGAAGTACCCTTACTGGAATCGGTCTCAGGGCGCCGACCACTTCATGGTCTCCTGTCACGATTGGGTAAACCGTTAATTCCTCTACCTAATAATCATGATTACCTAGTTAAGAATATTAATTAATTACTGCGTAATATAAGGTATATAATACGTTATTGTTAATGTTATTGCCCCTTTCGACAAATTATGAATACGGTAATGCGATAATTAATATGGTAACTAATGGTGCAATATAAATAGAGAATTTGTTATACTCTCAAGCCGTTGAGGGGAATCCGTTTTGGAATTGGATTATTAGCCATGAATAAATCAACCATAAAGAGATATAATGATTAGGAATTATTTTTTATATATAAATGGAAGCAACCCAAAATGAGTTTGATCAAGGCCAAGCATACCTCTTCTCCATCGATGCATCTCAGATTTCATTCATCACGAAATGAGGCAGAGCTAGTCTTTGTTATAATAAAAAAATAACACATAATTAGAATGAAAAATGTGTTCAGAGTAAAAGAAGCATAAGATGAAAACATAATTAAGAATGTAACGATTGAGTTGAAAATGTTGTAATATAACAGATACAAATTTAGACTCGTACATCATTTCATTTAGAGAATCCATCGAATCAGAAACATGATATAAATATAACTACGAACAAGGGATTGGTCTAGTGGTAGTACCACTAGCCGTGAACCTAGAGATCCCAGGTTCGAATCCCTTCAATAGTACCTAATTACAAAAAATAACATATATCACCCTTATCTATAAGATATAAATATAACTAGGTCGAGTCAGATCAAAACGAATGGAGAAAATTAACCGCCTTCATAACCTTTACCTTCAATCACTTTTTGCTTAATTAGCAAGGCTTGCTTATTTTTACTTGAATTTAAAATAATCTAGCTGTCATTCCCTTGAGTTCAGTGAAATCTGCTTGAACTTAGAACCACTACAAAATTTAAGACATGGGAGAAATTCTGGGATCAAGCATGGAGTCAAACAAATTAACTATACATATTAAATTAGAGTGAATTGCACGTACGTACTAATGGTTAACTTGCTATACAAGTTAATGTAGAAGAAATTGGAAGCAATGTCTACTTTAGTATTGGAAACTCCATGTGACCAATTACCTTTGGTTGTGATATCAGTTGTAAATTGTAATAATCTCCTGATTATTACTGTCCTGACTATGTTACAAAAAAATTTATCCTTGTTGTTTTCAGGCACCAGAAGTCTCGACGGCCAACCCGAAACTCTACTCGAAATTCATCCGGGTCCTCTGCAACGCCAACACCTCCGAAGGCTTCCGGCCGAACCGGGACGCCGCCCTACCCGAACTCTACCTCCAGTACGGTCAACTCGGTCCGACCCCGACCCAATCCCGGACGGACTGCCCTCCATCCAACCGAACCATCCTCGCCTTCTTCTCCGGCGGAGCCCACGGCTACATCCGCCGGCTCCTCTTCGACCACTGGAAGAAGGACAACGACAATTCGGACCCACAAGTCCAGGTCTTCGAGCACCTCCCGAACCGCGCAATCTACACGGCCAAGATGGGTTCGAGCAAGTTCTGCCTGTGCCCGAGCGGGTACGAGGTGGCGAGCCCGAGGATTGTCGAGGCGATCAATCACGGCTGTGTACCGGTCCTGATCTCGGCGAACTACTCGCTGCCGTTCGCCGAGGTGCTGGACTGGAGCGAGTTCACGGTGAGTGTTCCGGTGGAGAGGATCGGCGAGATGAAGGAGATATTGGAGGGTGTTTCGGAGGAGAGGTATTTGGAGATGTATGAGAGAGTGAAGGGAGTGAGGAGGCATTTTGTTTTGAACCGGCCGGCGAAGGCGTACGATTTGTTGCATATGGTGCTTCATTCGTTGTGGTTGAGGAGGTTGAATGTTAGGTTGTAATTGAGTTTGGATCACGAGGAGGAGTTGAGTTTTGGTGGATGGGGAAAATGTTCGATCCATGTTAAATTTGAAATCCGAAAGTTCACATCATCCATCTATATGCACTTGTTCGATTCATGTTATATTGGATTCGTACCGTTGAAGGTGTATATACGATAGCTCGAAATTGAGAGACTAGGATTATGAATTATGTTCACTTTTCAGGGAAAAAAATATTTTCACACTTCACAGAGCATTGGGTGAGTTGAAATTTCTTGAAGACAAAACCATAACCACTTTAGACTCTAAGCTAAAGAATGCTAAGCAGACTTAGAAGCGAATAATCAGTTTGATGAAACGTTACATCATCCATCCTCACGTATATATTTATAGAGGCCGAATCTATACATTTTTTTTTCAACTCGAAACCTTACATTGTTTCGTGAAACATTCTTTCCTAAAAGGTTCTTCTTAACCATAAAGCATTCTTTAATTCATTCCCAACATGTTAATTGAAACCTAAAGTTTGTATCTTCCATGCATCCATATGAAGTTAGCAGACAATGAAATCGGTTTTCGAATAACTTTCATTCAAACATATATATTATATACCTTAAAATTGAGGGCATCGGGTCATTGTTGGTTCGTCTGCTTGATATGGATATCAATCACGATATATGTTCGCTGTTGGGAGGAGGTATGGTCTGGACTTGAAAGCAGACAATGAGGGTTTGACCAGGTGTAAGTTACATGAGAGTGGCGGACGAGAGGGCTAAAAATCTACACTCAGAAAAATTTGAACTGACGAGAAACACTAAATCCTTATCAACCGCTATATATATATATATATCCCAAATCAATTATAATTTTTTTTTCCGGTAATTATTTCCTCTCATTAAGCTCACTTGATCAAAATCAAGTCGCACAAAAACTCAGATGTACATCTTACAATAGAAAGCAACTAAACATTATAATTGTAAATTCAAACTCCCTATCACTCTACTGCGCACCATAGCTTCCCTGAATCTCAAGTCCCCTTGTGCCAACAACCATATTTCTTCCCGCATCTGCAGAAAAACTACCTCCCAAAGTCTTGGTCTCTCCCCAAAAAACGCGCTTACAACGCTCTTTCCACACCAAGCTACATATCCAACACCAAACAGCACTCAACACAGGGTCATCCACACTATTTTTAGCAAGCAAACTCATTTCTTGTAACAGCTGCTCCCAACTAGAATCCCAACTGGTCAGCAGGGTACCAAACACTGCATTCATCAGGTAACCAGTGTACTCACAACTACAAAATAATTGAAAACAGCTCTCCTCTTCTACTTCACATAGCACACAAACTGCATCTCTAATCTTCCCCCACTGCTTTAGCTTATCTCGAGTGACAATACGATTTAAGATGATAAGCCACATTAAAACCCTATTGCGAGGTAATGTATGCTTACCCCATATCACTTTCCACCAAGAGACAACTGGTCTATGCACTCTGATGGACTCCCAGACTTGCTGCGCCGAGAATCTTTCCATCATCTTCCCCTCCCAGAATACCTGATTATGTGCATTGGAAGTGATTCTATACTGGTACCAACCTCGCAATTTCAACAGCTGTTTCCATAGCCATGATCCAGTCATAGTAGACTGTAGCTCCCAAATGGACCGAGCTTTCAGCCTATACCTGCTCACCCATGCTACCCAAAAGCGCCCCCCTGCATAAACAGTAACCACAGGAGTCGAGCAATACAAGCAACATTCCACGTTTGTAAGTCCCTCGATCCCATACCCCCTTCTTTCTTAGGGGTAGCTAGAACATCCCATGCCACCTTTGCTCTCCTGTTCCCTCTCCATGCCATAAAAAATCAGAGCAAATCTTTTGAATGCTATCAATAATAGATTTAGGCAAAATAAAAATGGTCATCCAATACTAACACAATGAATAAAGCACAGCAGAGATCAACTGCAGTCTACCTGCATAAGATAGCTTGCTAGCTCTCCATGATCTAACCCTGCTTGTCAGTCTATCCACCAAGACAACACATTCCCTGCTTGTAAACTTCCCAGAGATCAGAGGCACCCCAAGATAGCGGACAGGCAGTTTACCCTCTCTAAACCAGTAACCAGAACAGCATTCTCTTTATATTGTATTGCTTGGCCACCAAAGAAGACTTCACACTTCTGCGGATTACACTTTAGACCAATCATCCAATAAAACTCATTTAAAAGACACTTGACCCTCAGTAAAGCTCTCACCGACCCCTCATTAAAGATGAGTAGGTCATCTGCGAAGCAGAGATGCGTTAACTTCAGCTCTTTACGCTGAGGGTGGTAAGGTAAGCTACCCTCAAGTGCTGCAGTATTTAACAGCCCTGTCAATAGCTCAAGAGCAATGGTGAACAGATAAGGGGAGATTGGATCCCCCTGCCTAACTCCTTTCTGAGCAGCAAAATATCCAAAGAGGGCACCAAATAAGCTAACACTGAAGAATGCAGTACCAAGACAGACCTTAATCCAACCAGTGAAAGCCTCATGGAAGTTCACTGCTTTCATAACCAAAAACAGGTAATTCCAATCCACAGAGTCAAACGCTTTCTGTAAATCAATCTTTACTGCACTGCGAGAAGCCAAATTTCTGTTTGAATAGTTCTGAACCATTTCTTGAGCCATCAGAATATTATCTATGATACTTCTCCTTCTTATAAAAGCTGATTGATTGAGGCTGATAACACTAGGGAGTACTTGCTGAATCCTATTTGCCAAGACTTTCGAAACAATCTTATAGAAAATATTAATACATGCAATAGGTCTGAAGGCAGTCATCCTACCTGCATTCGAAGTCTTAGGAGCTAGAGTAAAGGAGGTTGTATTCATACCTCGAGGAAGCTCATTTGTACAAAAGAATTCTCGAATCCCAGCCGTTACATCTGCTCCAATTATTGCCCAACTTTTCTGATAGAAACTCACAGACCACCCATCTGGACCAGAAGCTTTAGTAGGGTCCATGGAGAACAAAGCAGCACGAACTTCAGCCTCAGTCACCTGCTCGCTCAGAAACCTCTGCTTTGTACTTGACAAAGTCTTTGTCACATAACGTTCGATGGCAGCAAACTGAGGTATAATTTCCTTATTTGGTGCACCATAAAGCTTCTTATAAAACCCTGCTGCCTCCTCAGCAATCTGGTCTGGCTCAGAGATAACCTGTCCTGACTCCAATACCAATTGTCTAATCTGTTTCCTTGCATTTCTTATCTTGACAGATTTATGAAAAAATGAAGAATTTGAGTCCCCCAAAGCTAAGCCCTGAATTCGCGATTTTTTATGATAAAAGCTCTCCTCAGCCTGAAGCAGTTGGTGATATGAGTTTTTGCTTGCTTTTCTGCTTCATAGATTTCACTTGATGGACACTCAAGGGCCAATATCTGTTTGTTTCTCAACTCAAGCTCAGCCGCCTTTACTCTCCCGGAGATATCCGAGAACTCTTCCCTGTTCAGCTTCTTCAGTTCTTGCTTCAACAGTGCCATCTTTCTCTTGTACTTCTGTAATGGAGATCCCCAGCACTGTATACTCCAAACACTCTTTAAAACTTCCCAGTATTTATCATGATCCAGCCACATATTAAAGAATCTAAAAGGTTTAGGGAACGATTTCCTTATCACTTTTGGGTTCATCAGTATTCCACAGTGATCAGAAAAGAGAGGTGCCATAAACTCCACTGTGGAATCTGACAACTTATCCAACCAATCTTCATTAATCAGAAATCTATTTAACTTTCTAGCAATCGGGTTACCTTGCTGCTGATTGGACCAGGTGAAGAAAGGCCCTGAAGCTTGATGATCCACAAGATCCATCTCCTCTACCCAATCCCGAAAAGCCAGCATACTACTCGTAATGGATATCTCATTCGATGCTTCCATAGGGTTCAGAACAACATTAAAATCCCCTCCAATAGCCCATGGAAATCCTTTCACCCTCCATCTACTCAATGCTCTATATGTACTAAGACTCTCTCCCTCGTCGTTGGAAGCATAAACTACTGTTAAGAAAAACTGTTCTGGATTAGTAACTGAAACCAAAGCACGAATAAAGAATGCACTTCGAGCAAGCACTTTCAACTGCACCCCTGTCTTCCACGCCAGCCAAATTCTGCCCAATTTATTGTAAGCATAATTGTCTTCAAACCGAAAAATCCACAAATTTCTCTTGTATCTGTTGTGCTTTATTTTCCTGGACTCTTGATTCAAGAATTGCCAGAACTACTACTCCTAACCTACGCACACACTCCATAACAGAGTTGTGCTTCGAGGGGCGATTAAATCCCCTCGCATTCCATATGAGAACTGTCATTTCAGCAAAGGAGGTACCAGGGGTACCCCTTTCTGACTCCTTAACCCCTCTCGACTTGGCTTAGCAGGCGGTTTCTGCAACTCAACCCCCTTTGCACAAATTGCTGCAAACGAATTTGACAAACGAATAGGCGAGACAATTTCCTTACCCTTCTACTTACCTCCATTCACCACCAAATTGAATTCCTCATTAGAAGGCAAAGCACTAGGGGTGACTGGTGGTGTATCCTGCTGCTCAACCACACCCTGCGGAACCTCAATCAAATTGTCCAAGTTAGCAGCACTAGTATGATTCGGTTGTACCTCCAATTATGCAGTCACCTGATTCAACTCAGAAGCCTCAGTCAGACACTGTATTGTGCTGCTTCTTCCACCAAACCCTCTTTGTCGCACCTTGCGGGGCAACACAGCTATGCCCAAATACGCAACAAGAACTGCACACAACTGGGACATGACAATACTCCATACTAATAACTATTTCCTTCATAGAATATGGAGTAATACTGATCTTCGTTGGCCATGTCGTCTTCGCACTCATCTCAATACAGAACTTAGCTGCCCCAACTTTGTGTCCAAATCACGTAGGTTGATCCATACAGAGGGGCTTACCAAGCACACTAGCCACGTGACTCAATCCCTCTTTTGACGAAAGCTCCCCAGGTAATCCAGATAGCTTCACCCAAATCGGCACTGCTGTATTATCCACCTCCAGCGCCTGAATCCCTGGCACCCACTTCCTTACACACAACAGATTATCCTTATAGTGCCAAGGACCTCCCTCAAAAACCCATCGACAGACTTTCGCAGATGGGAACTGTAATAGAACTAAACGATCCTCGAACGAGGATACCTTAATTTCCCCCTCCTTCCCCCATAGCCAATTTTCCCAAAAACGAATTGTTGCCAGAGACGGAGGAGATCGAAGAAATTGGCCTACCAAACAGTTGTCGAATCGTTTAGCCCCTTCCTACATGACGGATTTAGGGATTCTGAGTGGCCCATTTACGATTTCCGGTTCAAAATACTGCAACTGATTGTCAGCAGAAGCCCCAAAAAGAGAAGCCCATGAGCGACCGCCGCCGACGGCGCCGGATGAGGCTCCGTCAGTGACGACCATCATCAACAAATCGGAAATCGACGATGCGATCAGAGAAAAGAAGAGAGAATGCTCTTTTATCCATTACAAAATTTACATATAATCTAAGTCAATACAGCAAGCAACATAATTTGAATATCTAGTTATACCATAGCTTAGTTACATTTGTGTGGCAAAAAAAGCCAATTATAAAGAGTTGACACGATGATAATGAAATCTGAACTATACATTTATATCTAACACATTTTAAATTCAAATACTAACGTCAAACACCCACCTCAAAGACAACACAAAAGAAGTGGTAAATAATTGAACTTAATTATTAGTCCATTTAACTTGTATGTATTCATTGACACTTAAGTATGTTTATAGTAAAACTACAAAAAAATCCGTCTATTGCCATTCAGCTGAATATATGACATAGGAAAAAGTTAGTGCAATGCTGTCAAACTACATATTCTGCCGACTTTGTCAGTAAAACTTGATTAATTGGTATTACATGTAGTGATGTAAATTTGGTTTGGTTAACCAAACTATTAAGTATGCAAAATCAAAAATCAAATCTCAAAAATCAAAACCAAAACCATTAAGGCTCTTATTGGTTTTCGGTTGCCAAAAATCAATAAGCGTTTTAATGGTTTTGGTTTTGGTTTGGATAACCAAAAAACCAACATGTACTCATACACTCATATTTATTTTGATTTCCCTCCTTTTTATTGAATTAACGTCATAATAATGGTAAATGGCCATTACAAATTATTGGTTGGCATGCATGTCAAAAGAAAAAAAAAATTGTTGATAAATAATTTTATTCTTATTGGTTTCTTAATGGTTTCTATTGGTTTTTTCGGTTTTAACCAAACCAAAACCAATAAGTTTGCTTATTGGTTTAAAACCAAAAATCTGAAACCATTAGCTTCCCAATTGGTTTGGTTTCAGATAAAATCAAAAAAACCAAAACCATTTACCAGGTAAATATATACTATTATTATAGTTTTAGATTGTTTTAACAATGGTATATATGCTGCCGACTTTGCCAGTAAAACTAGATTGTTCTAACAACTGCTATATACATATGTTCAACTTGCCATCAAGATACTAATAATTAAATAGAGTAGGAACGAAGGAATGAAGTACTACTACATATATATAAAATCCACAGCCACCCAAGAACACATAATATTTCAAACAAAAAACAGAGCGCAAATGGAGAAGAAGAACCAGCCTCTGCAATTTGACGACGACGACGAAGATGAGGTGGTGTTGTTTGGGACGTGGTCGAGCAGCCGTTGCACGAGGGTGGAGATAGCCCTAAAACAGAAGGGCATACCCTACAGGTACGTGGAAGTGGACCTCCAGAACAAGGGCGAGCTGTTCCTCAGCTACAACCCCGTCCACAAGGCGGTGCCCGTTCTGGTTCACAACGGGAAGCCGATTGCAGAGTCGCTGCTCATCCTCGAGTACATCGACGAGTTCTGGAGCGACAGAGGACCTAAGCTTCTTCCTGAGGATTCTTATCAACGAGCTAAAGTCCGGTTCTGGTCCAACTTTTGCGATGACAAGGTAATAAACTTGGTTCTATACTTTAATCTTGTTAGCTTGACATCATATCCATCGTGTGTGTATATATATATATCGGTAAGTCTAGCCATAGATATACATTGATCCGATTAGGCCCGATTTTTTAGGATCAGGCTGGATTAGTTTGTCTACTGTGTCGGTTTAGGTTCAGGTAATCTTCTGGAGTAATTTTTTGGCCTTACGAACCCAGCAACAACTACTCATGATATGAAATTTCTCATACCAACACATTGGACATGTTTGTAAAGTTTTAAAAGTTTAGGTACTATGATGCAAGGTAAAAAAAATATAAAGGTACTAAAATATAATTTTATTACAAAAAATTATGGACCTTTTCGTATAAACATAAAATTTAGGTACTAAATTGTGAGAAAAAGAAGTTAAGTTTGAGTACCAAAATATAACTTTCAAAAACATTATGTTTATTGATGTGAATCGACCTACTGGCTCGGCCCGATCCCACCCTCTCATTACAGTCCAGACAGGGCCAAAGGAGAATGTGGAGCCAAGTTGGGTGCTTGATCCTATAAGACCAGGTTTTTTAGAGTAGTGGCAAAGCCATGGTTGAGTTTGGCCTAGTTTCACCTCTAGTATTGGAGGCTAGAGCTTTAAGTGACCGAATTTTGATGGCACCCTATTTGTTTAAATACATGATATTCTGATTTGTTCAAATTTCAACCCTTTATGAGTTGGTTTTCGATTGAAAAGCGTAAATAAGGAAAATTTATCTCTCTCACCAAGTTGAATTATTAGCGCCAACCAAATTTTTGACAGAGGTAAGTTTGTGTTAATAACCGAACAGAAAAATAGGGTTACCGATCTGGCTGAGTCGCGGACTAGGTCGCTCTCTTTAAGACGTTCGCGGCACTGCCTCGTTATTCGCACAGCAGACTATCAGCCGGTCGCCTCCAGGATAAAACAGCCACTCTTTTGATATGCTCAGCGGTTTTGTGCGGAAAACTGGAGCTCTTTAAATCTCACTCTCTCTTGTGTTTTTGCTCTTCTGGGGTGTGTTTAGAGGGTCTGGGGCGTCTCCTATTTATAGGAGCAGAAAACCCAGAATATTCCCTCTTTCTTTGGGAATAAGTCATATTTTAATTAGGGAGATAATTACTCCCATAATTAAAATATAATCTATTAAGATAATTATTCCTAATTATCTCCATAATATTCCTTTTATTAATTATCCATCTTATTTATGTATGTATTATGGAAAAATACTGGATAATTAATTAGGAATTTCATTATAGCTTTTCAAAGCTATTCATCCCAACAATCCCCCACTTGAATAGTTTGAAACTATCTCTGAGCATCAACAGTTCCATAAGATCAGGCATAAGCTAAGGTATCGCGAAGATTTGAACCTTAGCGTAGTGGTTACACTTCCGATTTCATAAGGGTGACTCGTAGTCTTGAACCCTATCTCAGACAATGTAGCACACCGGATCTTTTCATTGAGTGATATTCTCTCATAGGCCGTGCGTTTATGGCCATGCACGTTATCCCGGTTTAGTGAACGCTCTAGCAACTTTGTGCCTCCAAAGTTCCATAGGGAGCGGCCCCACTCCCACATTCACATAGGTGAGTCTATCAGAAGTACCCCCAAAGTAAAGTACTTCCCTCCACATAGAGTATAGATCTCATTAAGAGTTTTAACTCAACCTCCAAGGCTTTGGGATTCATGCTTCACTATGCATGAACTTTTCTCAATATTACTCATGACTTGTTATTACCCATTGAACCCGTTTCTTGGGATCTCCAGTCTATCGGGTCGGGTTACCATCACTTGTAATCCATGGTTCGGTAGGCATAAGTCTCATACCCTTTGTGGTATTTTGGACTTTCTCTCTAGGTAATCCTTTCGTCAAAGGATCATCTAGATTCTGTTTTGGATCTTATATGATCCACCCTCACTGCTCCTATCGTTAGGAGTTCTCTTACAGTACTGTGCTTACGACGAATTTGTCGTCTCTTTTCGTTCTAGAACCGGTTCCCTTCTATTGCAATAGCTGCGGTGCTATCACAATTAAACAACTACCGGAGGGATCGGTCTTTCCCATAAGGGAATCTCTAGTAGTGACCCTCTCAATCAACTTTACTCTTTACTAGCCATTGCTAGTTCTATCATTTCTGATTTCTTAGTTGATTGAGCCAGGATCGTTTACTTCTTAGACTTCCAAGACATAGCTTCTCTATCGATGTTTAAAAGACAGCCTCTTGTTGTCTTGAAGTCCTCTATAGGGTATTCTAATCCGCATCACTGTACCCTACCAATACAGCAAGAAACCGTTGATAACATATATCAAGGCCTACTGTTCACTTAATGTTTCTCATGAACCTTTTCAATAGCATTTCAATGCTTCATACTAGGACAATCAATAAGCCTGCCAAGTACCCCCCTATGTCGGGTCTCATGTTTATCAGCTGCCTCTCGCATACTGTCGATGCTAGTATGTTCTTACTTTCTTACACCGTCTTTGGTGCTCTTAAAAATTACACTAGCACCATCAAACATTTATGCAGGTGTAGAACTCGTATTTCCTCTAGATCTAACTGTGTAGTTAAACTGATCTAGATGAAATCTCTTTCATTGTCCTAGTAATCTGGATCTCCGAGCATAACACTTTGCTTCATCCAGATCTTTTTACCTTCATAATTCTCAAACAGCATGGTTTTTCATAATATTAACATCACGAGTCTTTGTACCAAAGACCGAAGTGTCATTCATAATGCAAGTGTCATTCTCTAAGTTGTACTAAATGCACTTGTCACTTTCACTTTTAAAACCATGAGAGAGAACCAGTTTATTCATGCCATTGTCTTAGAGTCTATTTCAAATCTTACAATGATTTGTCTAACTATAGACTCCATAAGTATGTTCAAGAATAACAACCCTATAGGTTGTCCCATGTAGATTTTCCTATCTAAATCACCATTCACATAAACATGTTTAACAATCCATCTGACGCACAACACTAGCAATCAGAACATACATGGATGTTATTCTACATGTGGTGAATAGATAACAAAAAATTTACAATTTTTCCTTTTCGCTTAAAGCCTTAGCTATTAGGCGATCCTTATACTCATAAACTAACCCAATAGGTTTCACTTTTCTTTTAAGAATCCATTTATTACCCATGACTTTATTGCCAAGAGGTAATTCTCAAAAATGCCAAATCTTGTTCGATTCTATCGATATATTACCCAAGGCTTTTCAACCAAGAGGTAACTCTACAAGATTTTAAGTCTTATTAGACTAATAATTCCATTTCGTTAATAATGGATTCTCCCACAATTCTGCATCTTTATGGAAGTTCGAACTTCTAGCAGACTTGTAGGATCTTTCTTTCTTAGGGTGTAAATAACAAATTCATAACCAAAAACCTTAAGAGATTTCAGGTTCATTTGCTTCTTCTGAGTTTAAACTCATATTTATTACCCCCACTAGTTCCATTATTTCTAATAGTAGGCAGGACACTACCCCCACTATTTCTTGATTTAAAATGGAAGTTTCTTGGCATTAATGGATTTCACAACAACATGAGTATTTCGTTTCATAGGAACTATGTGTTTTTATTGTTAACAACATAAAACACACTCATATGCTCTTCTAGTTATCATGTTACACTGATTTTCTAACGCTACCACATGCATGCCACATATCGAATAATCAGTGCAATCATAATGCAATTAGACATTTCAAACCATTTCAAATAACTAGTCTGACAATCAGAGCACTCTAAAGAGCAATAAATTGTTTATTGTCTTTTCCATCAAGTTTACCCACATAAATCAGATCTATTTATTCTGATTCTCTAATCACATATTTATGGGTCATTTAGTTTTGATATAGAAAATTCATATTTTTCTCAAGCATCCAATAATAATATGGGAATGCGATATAAGATATTCTAATTCTTCACACAGACACACTTGGAAGAATTTATCTTATCTACTTAACCATTCTAGGATAGTCAATGACTTTCTAGAGGCAGAGTCCTCTTCCACTTTTCCAGAACCATCAACAATAGTGGTGAGGGTCTTGTCCAACAACACTTTCTCCTTCAATACGCGTCAATGTATGATTGAGCTTAGCTCGTTTATCACACACATATCTTGAAGCGGTCCTATCCAACAACCATTCTTCAGAGTTACCATTAAGGCTAACCTCTGTCATCACCTCAATGAATATTATTACCAAATCCTCTTCTTTAGTCAAGTTAACACTAGGTTAAACTTGTTCTTACACTTTCGTGTCTTATGACCTAGTTTCTCACAATCATAGCAGAGAAAAATAGTGTCATTCTTAGAGGATTAACTGGTAATCTTTTGGTTACCACGAAGGGTACCATTCTAATTGGTGTGGATATGGTTCGACTTGTTGCTCTCATTCTTGAAACTTTAATGTTTCAGATCAACATAAGTGGTTCACCTAGTATTGACAACAATACTTCTTCTCTTGTCATTACTATGGGCAAGTAACCCATTCTGTTCCCATAAATATTCTTTCTTCGTACCCTTGTAAACATCATTATTCTATTCCAACGCATGTATTAAGTTTCATACTCTAATCATCGAGATAACACTTCTTGATGTCGACATAATCATGCATCGATTCTCGTTTCTCAAGCATTCTTAAGATTTCTCAATTACATGCATAGAAAAGTATGGAATAGATTCTACTTTATCATTTAGTAATGACTCACGAGGAAGTTTCAGTTACTTACCTTTGTCCGGTAAGAGTATATCGTCCCCATGTCCTCGAACTGCTGGTCGAAGTTAGTACGCTTCCTTTTTCAGCAAGAGCCATGCCACTTGATCAAAGGTTTGGCACGCACCAAGGTTGGGCGGGCAGCACGCCCCTCTTACTGGCTAGACGCGAAGAATAGCTCATTGGAATTTTATTTGTAAGCAGCAAGCCACCTTCGTGCGACATCATGATCTGATAAATATTTGGCCCACCATCATTTAACAAAATTTCGCTCATCTGCAGGCCACTTGTATTTTCATTAAGCCTCAGATTGGGCTTGTCAATACTCGGCCCAATTGAAAACCTCATATCCGCCTTTTGCCCTTTTCTACCGTGCAACAATTCATCACGAGCCTCCTTGCTGTGGATCTCTAGGTATCGGGCTTCCCGGAATAACCTAGTCCACTAGCCGATATACCTTTATATGTCTGTCATTATCGGAGACTCCATCGTTTGTTTCTACGACGACGGCAGTTGGAAGATTCTCCGAGCCCCAATATCGTGGATCACTGGAGGAAGACCAGTTGAGGACCTCGCTCTGCAGAATAGAAGCTACGGACGGAAGGAACAACCACCGGCGTAGGGCGGCAGACTCAGATCTCTCTGCTCACCTCGATATCTCTGAGCCCCTTTCTTTTATAATTCTTCTTTATGTCGTCCTTTTGCCGGGGCAACATGTTCATTCTTCCGCCACCAATAAAACTATTTAGCTTTGGAATTAATTTATGCTTCTTCCTGTCCCTTCATGATTACCGCCAGTACCTATTCTTCTTCTCACAAACACCATGAGCAAGATAAACAATAAAAGAACAAAAAGAAACAAATTGAGTAAAAGGAGGGAAGTGCTCAATTCTCCCTTGCGATGCCATTTCAGCAGTGGTGATAATTGTGGCTAGCGAAGTAGGTTTGGGTATCGGCAATTTCTTGCCTTTCGTTGGAGCCAGATGCGATAATTTGTTCAGTACATGTAACAGCAACACCACGTCTTAAAATTGTTAATAACCGAACAGAAAAATAGGGTTACCGATCTGGCTGAGTCGCGGACTAGGTCGCTCTCTTTAAGACGTTCGCGGCACTGCCTCGTTATTCGCACAGCAGACTATCAGTCGGTCGCCTCCAGGATAAAACAGCCACTCTTTTGATATGCTCAGCGGTTTTGTGCGGAAAACCGGAGCTCTTTAAATCTCACTCTCTCTTGTGTTTTTGCTCTTCTGAGGTGTGTTTAGAGGGTCTGGGGCGTCTCCTATTTATAGGAGCAGAAAACCCAGAATATTCCCTCTTTCTTTGGGAATAAGTCATATTTTAATTAGGGAGATAATTACTCCCATAATTAAAATATAATCTATTAAGATAATTATTCCTAATTATCTCCATAATATTCCTTTTATTAATTATCCATCTTATTTATGTATGTATTATAGGAAAATACTGGATAATTAATTAGGAATTTCATTATAGCTTTTCAAAGCTATTCATCCCAACAGTTTGTAATTATGCAGATGATCCCAGCCACATTCCAGATGGTATTAACCGGAGGTAAAGCAGAGGAAGTGGAGAAAGCAGTCAAAGAGTTCGACGAGCTGCTCACCTTATTCGAACAAGGGATTCAGAGAGATCTCCCCGCCACGTTTAGTACTCATCGCTCGGACGACGGCGGCGAAGCCATGGGGTTTCTGGAAATCGTGGTGGGTATAAACGTCTGCAACTATGCCGCCATTGAAGAGACCGTCGCCGGGATGATCGACGAAGCAAAGCACCCTGCGTTTGCGTCGTGGGTCAACGCCATCAAGGAAAAGCCTCTGATGAAGGAGTTGCTGCCTCGCCATGACCAGCTCGTCACCAAGATCAAGGGAATGCTTGCGTCAGTACCCTAGTAATCAAGGACTCTCAAGTCTCAGTGACGGAAGGAAGTGTCCTCTGTATATATCCTACTTGTCGTTTACAATGGCAATGAAAATAGTTGTTCCCCAAGAAATTCTTATTTGATTGACACTTGATGCTATAAGATGCAAAACTTAATTGAGTAGTACTTGTGTTGTAACTCGTAAGTAGGGGGTGATTATTCGATTTTCGGATTTTCAGAAACCGAACCGTGCTAGGGTGTTTTTTCGAGTTTGGATTTTCGGGTGCAACTCGAATTGTGCTTGTAACAGGCAGGGGCGGATACATGGGCTTCTAGGGGTGTTCCGGGAAACCTCTAAAATTTGGGGAAACGATTATCCAACTTCCGGTAGTAGTTTCGTATGGGTATACAAAATATAATTGGTAATCCGGGACACCCTAACATTTGAAAAAATGATTATCCTACCCTCGATAATAGTTTGCTTATGATTAACAAAATATAAGTGGTAGTCCGTGTTATTCCAACCTAGGACACTACTATTATCAAACATATTCTAATTATGTTGCTACTCATTTGTTATTCTATTTTAAACATCATGCAACAGTAAAACGCTATTTCTTTATCCCCAACTATTTTTAATACCTAATAATTAAACTACGTACACGCTACCCTTAATTTTGAATTGATTTTATGGTGACACGACAAGTGTTGAAAGATTCTTTTCTACTTTGAGCTACATTAAGAACAAGGTTAGAAATCGAATATGTGATAAGTTCGTGAAGTATTGTCTAGTAGGATATGTAGATTTTTTTTGAACAATGCAGACACTGAGTTTATTTATATTTTTTTCAAAATATGAATTTTAATTTATTATTTAATAAAAAATTTATACAAATTATATAAGTATGATATTTTGAATATACGAATTATTTAATTTATTATATAATTAAATTTAATTTTTGAAGAGGACACCCCTGTGAAAATTTTCTGAATCCGCCACTGGTAACAGGGTCTGGTTTTTGGGTTCGGGTTTCGCGTTCTTGTTTAGATTGGGATACCCTTACCCCGCACGACTAATTAGTGACTTCACAATTTTTTTTGGTTTTTGGGTTTCATATAACCAAACCAAACCATTAGTGGACTTTTCGGGTTCGGTTAACCGAAAACTAAAACTAGCACTATTGCGTTCAGGTTTGCTATACGAACATATTCAGATTTTCGATTTCTATAGTTTTGAGTTCAGGTAACCGATCCAACCCGAACCGACAACCTTAGTCGTAAGTGAGTAATGGATATAAATGTTGTGAAGGGTGGGTGATTATAATGAAAGGAAAGCAGACAACGTACAAAAGTTACATAATTTGCTAACACGATTATCTTCATATTATATTTAATTGAATCGAGTCGTGAATATTATTAAAATATTGATTTAATTTCTTCTATAATCTTATGTTGGCTGAGTAGGGTTAGATCCACGGCTAATGGGCATTCGTCGACCCAAATAGCCACAAGTGAGGGGGAAAGCAAGGAGATAACTGCCTTCATCACCTTTACTTTTGTTGGGTTTTTTAGTGGTGTGAATGTAAGTGAAAGGGGAAAGTTTCAAGAGAGTCTCTTGAAGTACCATGTTGGTAAGGTGTGGGAAGGCGTGGTCGCGAATTCAGTTGATTTGATGTAATATGTGGTTAATTGATAATATTGGTTTGTGTAACCAACCGGACCAAACCAAACCGAGTTGAACCAAATCAAACTGAACTGATGTGGCGGTTGGAATAACCAAACCGGTCCAACTACCATGGGCCGAACCGATGCAATGGTTCATTATTTTTAAATGTACCAATGTGTTGGTTGGGGTGTAACCCATATGAAGAGTCGCCTCCCTTCGTACACACCCCTTCATTCTCTATAAATAGCACCTAACCCCTCTGGGTTTTACATCGATTTTTCCGGTACCAAAAACTCTGCTAAATCCAAAACTAGTTTTTTTCTGCATTCTTCCCAAAGAGAAAATCGAGTCAAGTGTGGTTCTCGTCGGTTCGCTGCGTTCGATGGGGTTCCGGGGTTTGAAGTACCGCTACGCCGGAAAAGGTATGTTCTTTCTATCCTGGGAAGAATCATTCCATAAACTTGGGTACTAGAGGGGAATAAGATTCTTTAAGGAGAGATAGTGAATTCTATCGGCTAGGACGCTTGCATGTGTCTTTGCATGTTTTTCTGAATCTTATGTCTATGTGTTTGCTTGTATTGCAAGAAAATAGTATACGCGAACAATTTCCACAACAATCTTAAAGGATCTTATTACTTGTAATTATTCACGAGTACTAGATATATAGATTCAGAAAAATTGCATCGCGAATTTGTTTTACTGATCAAGTTGTTGATTGATTTTTGCGGTTAATTAGAAAGAAGTTCTGGTTTTTGTTTCTGCATTATTTGTTGTCCTGTCGTTCCATAAAAAGCATGGCAAAGTTTTGGCGCCCTTCGTGGCACTGGGTTTCACTATTTCATTATTCTTTTAATTGATAAATGCAACCAACTGCTCTATGCACACAACTGCAACGTTGGTGTTTGGCAAGGATTATTGTCGTAGGTTCATTGCATGGTTTAATGGTTAATTAATCAGTTTTTGCAAGGTTAATTGCATCGTACGTATATTCATATAAGTAGGGTTGGTTATATGTATTATTGTTGCTTTGGTTCAATTGATCTTCGTATCTCGTTAAATTGTGCCACTGTGTGTATATGGTTACCGCGTGTATATATTGTATATATTGAATATATATGTTTCGTATGTTTCTCTGTCAATTTTAGATGGGCAATATTTGGATGTATGACGAGAAATGCCAATAAGAAGTTGGTATGGTTTTGGAAAATTGATCGCTTTACTGGGCTAGTTGGTTTCCGAAAGTTAAGTGGCATTAAAAAATCATTGTAAATAGGTAATACTGTACTCTGTTCTTTTCTTTTAAGTGTGAGTATAAATATACTGAATGGTTAAAGGTCGTCCTAAAAATTACTAACCATCGTCCTAATTTAATTTGTAATTTACCAAATTGCCGAATTTGAATTTCAAAATCAAACACAAAACAAACAACCCCTCCCCTTCCATAAATCTAAAAAAATATAAACCAAAATCCAACAAATTATCATATGGACCGAACCATAAATCGTAGTAAAAGAATAAAAAATTATTGATATAAAACAAAAAAAATCCAAAAAAATTCCGAAACCCCTCAACGAAGCCAATTTTAGGTTGAGCCATGGTACAACCGAAAATTGGCTTTGGTTGAGCCATGGTGCAACCTAAGGCAATTTTCGGTTGGTCCATGGTACAACCGAAAATTGCCTTAGGTTGAGCCATGGTACAACCGAAAATTGGCTTCGGTTGAGGGGTTTTGGGTTTTTTTGAAAAAAAATCGGATTTTTACCTCATTGGAGTCGCTACTCATGATTCAGACGTATTTCCAACAATTACGACTCGAGAATGTCAACGATGAATTCGAGAGTGTGGGAAATTGAGTGTTTTTCATTTTTTTTAGTTAAAGTGATGTTTGTTTGCTGAAGATGACAAAAGGTTAAAAGTGTAATTTTGTTATTTTTTAGGACGATCAATAGTAATTTTAAGGACGACGTTTATCAATTTCCATAATATATATACACACATTAAACTACTATTTGTCCTCCTTTGTGTTTGGAGAAATATAAAGGAACTGGGTTCTGTACCATGGTTATGGTGGGCAAGTTTTAATGCCGTGAGATAGTGGTTTGGATTTTAGAATATATACTATATATTCTGTGAACCAACTTGGATTGGTCAATGATTTTAAATACTTTTGTAGATTTGAAATATGAATGCACTCATAATCGACGTTATGAGGAAAGTTCGAGTTTCAATTTTGGTGCTTGCAAGATGCCAACTCTTTGGTTTATGTAACCAAGGTGACTGTATTGTGATCTTGAAGCAAATTGAAACAATGATGAAAAGCATATTCAAGACATGGAATTGAGTCATGATGATATGCTTATGTAAATTGTGTATTTACATAATGTTAAATACAATATTTATATTTCCTAAGTGAAAAATTAGTTGGATGAAGTCATTACGAGCTTGTTTGGTTCCAAATTCGACCACCAAGTTTTTAATGCGTTTATCGCATTGGTGCAATTCGTTTGTGTAGAATGGATGAATGTCAAGAGTTCCAAATCATTCTTTGGAACAGTTGTTCATTCAATGTAATGTATGAGTAGGCAGAAGTTTTTGACCTCTCATGCTACCATGTTCCACATATTATGAATAGATTAAATTCTTAAGTTAGTCATTCATTGACTATGAGGTGGTTTGGCTGCTTTCACATTTTGAGATTAGGAAAATATGAACAACCATAGGTGTGTAAACCCTATGCGACGAGGCTAGTGGGGACTTGTAAATCAAGTATATCTAAGCCGGAATGGTTGCAAAGGTTATGTTCAAAGTAAGTTGAACATAGTGTGAAAGAGTATACCTCCATGCGGTGGAGATGAAATTTGGTTAAACCATGGCTAAAGAATGACGTTACGAGAAAGCCACAAGGACAAGGAATCCTAATTCCTATGATGCTTGTGAAGGCATGATAATTTATTTATCATGTATATGGTTTATGACTTGATGTTTCCTATGCCATGAGGGCTGGCAAGGAAAATGAAGTTAAGATTGATCCTTAGGAATTTAGTAAGCTTGCCAAATGATGGTTGTCATCAAGATAAGCATTAGGTCAGAATTGTTTATGGTATAAGTACATTATACCATTGGAAAACAATTTGACTATGATTATCAATGTTGAGTTAGTTGCCAGAATTGTTTATGGTATATATAGATGTATATTATTGGAAAACAATTTGGCATGAGAGCTCAATTGAGATTATCATATTAAACTTAAAGTCTGAATTACTTACGGTATATTTATGAAACGTATACCATTGGCAAGTAATTAGACTATTGACTTAGAAAACTCATCGGAAATACTTGTGGTATGCCTAGCTTCTTTGACTAATGTCATTGGTAAGTGATAAGATGGGATTTCCAGTATTGGAATGCGTCTAAATTACTTGTGGCACCTCAAGTGTTTTTTACTAATACCATTGGTAAGTAATTCGATGCTATTTATGA